TTATTTATACTGCCCATGAGACCTTTGTTTTCTTTCATCTGCCAGACTGATGTAAAATGCCATTCTGTTTTCTCCATTGCTAAAACTAACGTAAGTAGAAGAAGATGCTCGATTGGAGTGACCCAGTTCCACCACAGTCACTGGACAACTTACCCAAGATTTGTCCCCTTCATATTTGAGATGTGGGGATACCCCTGGTGGACACTGCTCTAAACAAAAACTTGGACATGTCTGTGACCAAAACAGTGCTCATCCCCAAATTAAATGAAGTAATTCTTTCTCCCCTTGTTTTCCTTTCAAGAAACTAGGGCTGTTAACTGGCCCTGTGTCTCCTGACTGCTGGTTGGTGGAGCTGAATCCTCATAAGGCTTAGGACTTCTCTCTTCCCCGGATTTGGAATGAGGAAGAAGCATCACTTGGAAAAAACATCATTGCTATTAAGCAGCTTTCCCTCAGCCACCTCACTAGATGAATGCGTAGTAACAACTGCTTTAAAATATTTTTGTTTTATTAAATGTTTAAAACAACATACAATTCATATTAACAGTTTTATGGCTGAGGCTCTTCTGTGATGGGACCACACAATTTCATCCAGTATGAGTGCTCAAAACCATTACACCCTTAAATTAAAAACTTTTGTAAGTAACATTTGTAACAGGAAATTGTCTTATAGGTAACAACTGTATAGAAATAGCAATTAAGACCATATAAATGTTGGGGCATGGGGGGAATAAATATATTTTGTTATAAAGCTGGGTCCACTCTATGCTCAAGGTTATGCACAATGATCAAAGAACCCATTCATAAGCAGTTTCATCTTCCATGGGATCTTTGACTCCTTTATGAACAGAGAAAATGGGACTGTACATCTTTAATCTGGTAAAGTAATCCCAGTACGTATGTATTTTTAAATTTATCCTTAAGTAAGTTTGTACTACTTTCTTACCAAGGTTTAGCACCATGTAGCAGGACAGTTACTGAAAAAGGTTGCTGGGGATGTACAGTGAGTTCTCTATACTGCACTAGAAGAAAAGGTCCCCTCAGTGAAACAAAAGGTTCATATCCTTGCTTTGCAGTAGAGCATCAGTGCAGGAATAGCAACAACATGCTTTGAACCATGAAGCTGCTGTTTATTTACACACAAACACCTCCCTGCCCTTTCCCAGTTGCATAAGGATTCATGGATGAGGCCTTGATTATTTAATTGTAGTAAATGGGTGGGATTCTGTTACGTGGCAAAACAGGATGGGTTTTTCCAGGATCATTACAACCTGGCATTTCAACAAGATCAGGTAGTTACAATATTTCTTCATGTTGTGTGAGATGATTGGTGCTAAAAAGTATAAATATATGTGCAGATATGTACACACAGATACACACGCGCACACCCAGTTTCCTTGGAAACAGCAAAGTGTCTTTACAAGTTCTTGAAGGGGTGGATAGCCACACAGCAAAAGCTGACAGAAGTGTCCCCATAGAAATATTCCACAGTTGTGAAGTTTTCCAACACACTTCTTGAAAACCTCACTTTGCAGCAGACACCTAAGAAATTAACTGACCTGTTTGCCAGCCAAATGGCCGCTTTAAATTCAGACTAATTTAAAGGAAGTTTTAATATACAGTTTTTTCAGTTTACAGCATATGACCATCACCATATACATGTGATTCATTTAACAACGCAACGACATTCAGTGTTCCATTGCTTTGCACTTTGTTTATGGCTATAGCCTACAGACTAGTGTATGTATAATATTGACTAAAACAAGAATACATTAGGTTCAGCAGTGTCTTCAGTTATTTTCCCAAGTAACTATCACCACACTGCAGTATTCTGGCACTGGATGATGTAGCAATTACACAGTAAGTCCATTGGGTTCAAGTAGTAACTGGCAATGATGCTATCCTGTTTTGTGATGATGTGGCAAATAACCTGTCATGATTGTATAGTATACGATTAGCTGTTTTGTTCTCCAAGCTGCCTCTTGAGAAAAGGAAGATAGAAACCAGGGAGGATTCTGAGTTCCTGGTATTTTGTAAGCTCTGTAACTTAGGTGCTGAGACCCTGGGATGTGGGATCATTAGGAGTCCTGAAGATCTGTTTATTCCCCACCTCCTTATACGTCCACCTTTCCTCACTGTGTCCCACCCTCTCAGTGAAAAGAAGCTGGCTGCAGCTCTGTGGCTCCACAAAATGTCTTATTTTGTGTCTGGGAAGAAGACTAAGGGAAGTGAGGCAACTTGGATATCCCAGACCTTCCTGCACAGGTTTGAGCAGTGCCAAACTCCCTAGCTCTGCTAGCCTACTCTGGTCACAGTGATGTAATGGGACCACTGCTTGGCATACTTGCTGAGGATGGTAGAGTTTGCTTACGAGTGTATGTCCAGTCAAAGTAAGAGCTCCTACTGGACCTCTAACACTAACTATTTCAAACAAATAAAAAACGAACTAGATCTGGTGTAATTTTGCCAAAAGGGAGGAAGAAAAGCAAGAGTTCCTGCTGATTTTTCTAAGATACTATTTCTGGGGTTTTGAGTTCGCTGGGTGAAAATGTTAGGGAGCAGAGTAAAGTCTTAAAGTCACAGAGTCTCAACTGTCAGAACATCACTGCCAGAGTCCTATTTGCTGAGCTTCCCCAAGACCTTTCTGTGGTCCAGATAGTAAGTAGAGGAGTTCTAGAGATGCATAAAAGCTTGGATGAAAGGTCCAAGTCTCTCCATATGTACACTCAGGTCTAGCAGATATGAGCAATATAGCCCTTCACTTGGGAAAGGCAGCACAGCTCAAGTGCCAGCTGCTGAGTTCCTCAGGCATGAAAAGAAGACTGCAGGGCTGGCTGTGGTTTACCACATGGAAGGTGATCAAAGGTCTGTGTTTGAAGCATGCTTAAAAATGAAGAGGGGTCAATTCAAGGACAAAGATCTGCTTTGCTATTGTTACCTTTCTTAAAATATTGAAGGGTCTCTAAAAATTAAAACTTTTAAAAATTAAAACAGCACCCTGAATAAAACCTTCAACTCAGTGCTGGGAAAACATCAAGACGTGCAGAGACACATTGCTGGGAAGGACACAAACCATGTAAGTATCCTGGAGAGACCACAAGAAGGTCTGATCAAAAGAAAGGGAGTGTGGAGAAAAGCCTAACTAACTTGGATCCCAGCATTAAGGCCTACATCTTTCTTGCAGAGACCCACTGACCTCAGTGGCCTATCCTTGTGCATGTAATTGTAGGATTGGAGCCTGATTTGCCTGTTATCTAGGTAGCATAAAGTTTATGGTTTCCTTAACCATTTGCTTCCTTTCAGTGCTTGGGTTTTGTAATTTATTGGTGCTAATTAGCATTTGTAAGGTTGTTTTTTAAACTAAGTTTTTGTTTTCAGTGGCTCTGCTATTCTTTTTTTTATTTTCAGCCTTTCATTTGTATTTTGTGTTAGTACTTGAAGATATTTTTTACATGCAGGGGACAGATGGGTTATCAGCTCATTAAAGAACAGCAGTGAGACTAGCTAATGAAGGAGTCCTGCAGAGCCCTGCATAGTACTTAACCTCTCTGTGACTTTCTTACCCATCTGAAAAAAGAAGTGGATAACAGATAAGAAAACTTCAGATATAGCTCTAACTAGGTTCAGAGATTTAAAACAAGATGCCTCATGGGAAAAGTCTAGCTCCGTTTCAGAGAGCCATAAGCATCCTGTGGCAACTTGCCTAAACTTAGTCACTGAGGGCACCTTTACATGTGCTCTGAGGGTGGCTGGGGGCAGCGCTTTAATTAGAGCAGCTTCGAGAGCCGCTGTAATTAAAGTGCCACCGTGTCTCACGTACCAGTGTCCCTGCACTTAAAAATGGTGGCAGGGTCACTTGCTGTGCTCCAGCCATCCTCTGCATCTCATGTATCAGTGTCCCCACACTTCAAAATGGCAGTGGGAGCACTTTATCTAAAGGTTGTTCAACAAGCCTTAGACAAAGCACCCTTGTGGCCATTTTGAAGCATGGGGATACTGATACAGGAGATGCTTCAGGTGGCTCTCAGAGTTGCTCTAATTAAAATGTCCTTCCCCTCCCCACCCCCACTCCACATGTGTAAAAACATCCTATGATCTAGAAAATGGGTCCAGAAGGAGGAGTCACTTTATGAGTTCCTTTTGCTTTTTAGAAAGAAGTCTGGGCCAGCTGGGAAGTCAGAGACCCAAATATTCCCCATTATCATTGTTTTTACTTTGTTGCCTTCATTGTTTGTAATGCATCTAGTTTTCAAATGTTTTACTGTTTTTGGCCTTGAAAACAGCCTTTTGCATCAAATTTTGTGGTAGAATGCTACTTGGTTGGAAGATGAAAGGAAGCAAAGTCCTTTAAAACTTAAAAAAGTAGATATGGAATTTAATCAAAATTTAAAGATATGGTTCCAGTTATAATTCCTGTTAAATCAATTACATTCAACTCTTTAAAAACATGACAGAATGCCAAATTGTCTGTTTTGGACCTACAAAATCAGCCTTTTAATGGGACCCTAATTGGACCAGTAGGGCTGAAGAAGCTAGCATCTCTCCCCAATAAACCACTCACACTTGCAAAGCACGCACTATAATCTTGGTTTCACAGTTCCAAAACTGCTGGCCTCTGGCATTTGCATTAAATGAGAATCACTCTTAGATATCAGGCTCTAGAAGAAGCCCTTAGGCTCCTTCTAACTGAAATAAGTTAATCTTGTAACATTTCCATACACAGGGTAGGCAATCTTCATAGAAGTCAATGACAAATAACTCCAAATGTCATCAATGAAAATGGGATTTGGGCCTGTAACCACCACTGTAACATCAGTGGACAGCAGGAGCAGACTGATATGATTAATAGGTACTGTCATTAACTGTTTAATTCCACTTCCATCAACATTGCCAGTGTTTAATTTTTCAAGGAGATTTAGCTGTATGGAAAGCTTGAAGGGTAGTAACAAGCTGTTTTTGAGCTAGAGGGAGATAAAAAAAAGTTAGACAAAAGTCAAAGCTGTAAGTCATGGTAATCTTTAATGACATACACCTCAAAAACAGCTTGACAATTTTTCTTCAATCTTTGCAGAAGTCTTCTCCTTTTGTCTTCAGAGTAAATAGAGCAATTTTAAGGCCAAGCAAATTTTCCAAGCCCAAGTTAGAGACGTGAAAAACCAGGTTGTTTTGTTCTGTTTTTTTACACTGAAGCTAGACAGTAACCTCAGCTATACTGAAACTAAGGCTGCTCCATAAGAAAGTAGCTTGCATGTATTAGTGCAGTTAAAAAAGGTATATGGTTTTCTGTGCATTTCTTCAATCAGGGCTTGAAAGTATCAGTCCTTAGCAGCAATGAAATGGAAATCAAGACCACCTTCATCACTTTGCCATGACTTTTATTTTCCCTTATTTTCCTTTGTTTTTGGTGACTGAAAATGTAGAATCACATTTTCCAATAAGGTATGGGGCCCATTTGGCCTCATTAACTGAGAATTGGTGAATAGCCTATAAGAAATCTTCTGTCCAACTGATTTCTTTGAGAGTTCTTTGTCTTACCATAGAACTTCTCAAAAGTGTTTGCCTTTAAATATAGATATATTAAGAAGGGAGGTGGGGAAGAGAGACTTAGCTCTAGGCTATGGATGGGAAGACAACAGCTTTGGTTAATCCGTACTCTTGCACATCAGAATTGGACAGATTCCAGAATGACCTGTGTATAAAGCTTCAGTTATGGCTTTAAAATTAGCCTGATCCTATGGATCCAGTGTCCATTACATGTTAAAGCACTAGTAAAAAGATAATGGTGAGAGTACAATGGTGCATATTAACTGCAGGCTGCTGTTGGTATTGATGAATTCCCTGCTACTTTCAAGCCCAGATGCCCACAGTTGCTGTTTAGAGGAGATGAAGGTTCTTCTGAAGGACGTTGGCTGCTGACTGACCATTTCAATGCCTGAGGGTGCTGGATGCCCTGAAGTAGGAAAGAAACTTGTAGCAGAGGCTCACCACAAAGTACCAGATGTTCCGAGCCATCTGTGACCTCGCAATGAAAATCCGCCAGATGATCACGAGAAGCGTGGTGTTGAACACATACCGGATGTTCCTTAGCCTGGTGAACAAAAGAGAAACACACTAAAGAACCACAATTAACCAACAGATTATCTCAGTGCAGGCTCAACTGCTTTGGATCCAAGTTAAAGAGGCTTTTCTGAACTGCAGAACTCTTTGAAAGGAATCTTATATAAAACAATTTCTCCATGTCAGTGAGACTGCTTATGCCTAAATACATGTCTATCTTTTGTTCCCCCCTTCCTCTGGAACAACCCTGCACTGAAGTTATAAATGACATGGAGAGAGGAATGTGAGGGACTGACCCACATGTGTGGGCACCAGGTCTTGGTGTATTTCTGTACATTCTGATTTCAGATCAAGAAAAGATACTGAATAGATGCTGGTACTTGATTCCTAAGTTATCACCTAAGATATAGCTTATTGCCCATGATTTAATTGGATGTGTTGACAGTGCTTGATAGCATTAACCATGAGCCTTGGTGACTGGCCTGTGAGCATTTGTATGAGTTGATGAATTGGCTTGGTAGTGGGCTTGCTCCTTCTTCCTTGAGAAAACTGACAAAACATGTTGGGCATCTGCTCATCAGCCTCAGTGGAGCCCTCACTTTCAGGGCTCTGCAGGATTCTCTCTTTTTATAGTCAGTGTTCATTTCATATGTGAAAGGCATTAAACTAGACCATGAGATGGTGTAGGCTAACTTGCCGTCAGGGTACCAATTACATCCTATCTCCTTCTCTTTGGATACAGATACTCTAGTTCTACACACTCCTTATGTGCCAGTGTCTGTGTATAGGGAGGAGTGGGATGAGTGCAAAATAACCCATGACCAAACCTGACTAGACTTGGGTGTGCACATGATTTGTTTCTGTAATTTGGAATGTAAGGATAGTGATGGAGATTGTGCTATCCATTAAGCCTTTATGCAGCTTATACACCATTGCATGAATTACAGAAGCACCTAGGAACTGAAATTATACATTTAAAAAATTACTCCAGAAACTAAGAAAATGTGTGACATCCCAGTGATGACAACAGCCTGGTTTACATCTCTAGCATTTTTCAGAGTGCAAAGCACAGTTCCTTGAAAGGTACATCATTGATTTTCAGTGAAAATGCCTCCATCTCTCTTTCATGTTTCCTTTTCTGCCTGTGTATGAAAGTGGTCTGGAGAAGATGAGTTGGGCTTACATCTTTAATTGAAGCCTTGGACTTACACTGCAATGCTTTGCCTTTCAAGCTCCTATATACAGCCAAATGAATCAACAGAGAGCAGCTGTTTTACACTGGCTAGGGCTTACTTTCTTAAGTGCTGTTTTGCTGCAGGAATCCCAGACATGTCTTCATTCAGTAAGTATTTCTTAGCACCCAGGCAGTAGTTTTCAATGTATTCTGACCAATGCAGCTGGCGAATATCAAAGTTGTACAGCTAAAATTAAAGAAAAAAAAAGAAATAATGAAATACCACAACTAGATTTTTCAGAAAAAGAACAGGCTGTACCACTTGAGATGCTGATTCTGCTTTGAACTTTTCTCTGAACACAGCTAGTATCTCATGTTTTCAAAGCCACAAGATTCAAAGAAAGGAAATCTTACTTGAACTTTTCCATATAAGTGTTTATTACTTACTGGCCTCTGCTTCAAGTTGCATTTTACTCATTTCAAACAGCTAGGTATTTGGACAAGGGCAAAGAGAGATATGTTATTCTATTAATCTCATCTCTGTTTCCTCCTTATGTCCTTGTGAGTGGCCATTTGGATGCTCAGTGTCACTAAAGAAAAATGCAATCCTGTTACAAAAGATGGTGTGTTGATGGTTCATCCAAAAATGTCCCTTGAGTTCTCTGGTGTCATACCAGGATTATGCTTCAAGTAGAAATAAATGGACTGGGACCAGAATCAACAGGTCCTTCTGCATAAGTAACTAAGCTGGGGCAAGTTACATTATTTTTGATGTCTGCGGCAAGAAAAATCCAAGAAACGGTTTACTTAGTTGTTTGGCATTGATTTGTCTCATTGCAGTGCTAATGGCTCTGTTTAGTTTCATGCATCAAAATTTCAAATGGGAAAGGTATCAGCAATGCTCTCAAAGGATTGAAGGCCTAGCACAGTAAAAAAACCAATGTAATGAATGAAGAACAGAGGGAGGTGACTGTTCATTCTGCTCAGGTTTTTAATGCACAGACAACAGGATCAACGAAGTGCTTCCACTATTTTAAAAGGCAGTATGAAAAAAAAAGAAAAAAGACTTCACCCACGTATCTCACTACCTGCTTTTGGATTGATTCAAGAACTATGGCATTAGGCCAGCAGTGAGCCAGAAGAGAATGGTGTATATAGCCATGGAAAATGGGAAGTTTATTATCACGTATCTATCCTGCAATGACTAAAGTGACTACAGCTCATGTAGACCTGCCTGAGCTTGCTCTAAACTATCTAGCTTGAGTTGAATAGTGGCACAGAGCTCAGTGCAAAACATACTGAGAGTCATTAGTCTGCACTAATTCTACACATTGCTAGCAGTGTGGGAGTTAGTGAGCTTACAGCTGACTTGGGTATCTACTGCTAGCTGTCAGCATTCTTAGCCACAGCTGCAATTTGCTGCATATACTGCCCTTCTGTAGAGAGTGCTTGGCTTAAGAATACTTTAACTCCTACAGTGGGAGCATCTGTGGGAATGTTATAAGTAACAAGACTAAGACTGTTTGGTCATGATAGACACACAGTTGGTTCAGTAAAAGACAGCACCCACAAGAATTCTTGCCTCTTGCATATTTCCTGGACCATCAGGGCAACAACATCACCTCAACATGACTGAGAAAATAAGGCACAGATGAGCTACTGTACAAGGGAACACTGAAGCAGAACCTGGTTGGCTGTGGACAGTGAAAGTACCTTGAAAATGGATCTTACAGTTCTTCTCATTACCATTAGCGCTGTGCTTCTGGTGTCCTTGTTTTTCTAGAGCGTTTGTCCATGTGATCACCTCTCCAATGTGAAAGGGATTCAGTGAGATTGTTCTAAGCTGCTGCTGCTGGTGCACGCAAGAATAGACTGACCACCAGTCAAAGACAGGAATCTCAAGGGACCTATAATTTATTCTAGTTTGCACTCTTTGGAAACAGAGAGTGTTCCCAGGCCGAAAGACAACCTGAGAATTCCTTTAATATTTTTTTCAAAAGGCTTCTTATAGAATGAAAAAAAAAACACTTTTTAGGGATTTAGCAATCCATCTGCCTCTCAAACAACAGTGAAGGAAACATCCTCCTCCTACACTATAGCCAATGTTCTTGTGAGTCTAGTTAAAAAAACTGGGGGTGGAATAACAAATTATTTCTGTTTCATTCATGGCAGATTTGCATACTGGGGATCCAGAGAAAATGCTGTTTGAGAGACTAACCATGCACCAGCTGGAACAGCCTGGGAAACTGGACATGAGCAAAACTCTTGAAAAGGCAAGCACATTATCCATACGAGTAATACATATGCTTACTTTCTTGTCCTCTGGACTGAGCTGGCCCATTAACATGTTCATGTTATCTGAGGACCATTCCCAGGACTGAGTGGTGAAATATTCCAAAAGCATCAGATTCTTGTGCAGCCTATCAAGGATCTTCATCATCCTGAAAGACAATGGAAACATCAGAAACATGCAGGGAGTTTGTCCTTATTTGAAAAGTGGAGTTGGCTGAGGACTTTGGAAACCCAGGTTCAGGGTTCTGCTCTGCTCTGGGTTCCATTTATCATTTTGTCTTTCTGTCCCCTCTACGTACAATAGGGAGATAACAGCAGTTTCCCACCTTGCAGAGACATCACCATGTGTTCATTACCATGGGGATCTGAGGCAAAACCAGCAAGTTTTGTGCCCTGGGCAAAGCCCTGCCAAAGAGTCATGTGGTGATGGTGGTTGTGCTGAACACCAGAGACACAGAGAGAGAGAAAATATGTGGGGTGGGAGGGGTGTCAGTCTTATTTGCCCTGGGGACATAGTCCCTGGCTGCTACTACTGCAGGAAAGTCTGCCCACTCATGGTTGTTGCCTCTGCTGCTACCATGGTATCGACTATTAGATGTGAAGTGCCACAATGGCTCCTCCTCTAATTCAGCACCTGGGGCTGGTGTCCAGCTTGCCCACCTCTAATTAGGCTACTGGTGAGGACAGAAACACTTTACAAGTAGTTGATTAGACAGACGGACTTCGGGAGAGAAATGTTTTCAAGGCTGCTGTAATCAACAAATAAGTGCTTAGTCAGATTCAGGAGCATCTATGTCTCCTCTTTACCTCAAGGGGATTATGGGGAAAATAAAGGGATATTAATAAGCTGAAATGCAGAACTGCCTTTCAAGAGAAGTATGCTGAATTGGCCAAAGGGTAACTATATCATCTGTGAAAACTAATACAAAAGGCTGAGAGCTGGGTCCATTTGGCTTTCTGTATTCATGCATTGTGGCTGCCACCAAGCAAAACAGAGAGGCCCAGATTCTAGTCCACCGATTAGGCATGTCTATGGACTTAGGCACTCCAAACCCACAACTGGGGAAGTGACGACACACTGGGGATGCCCCTCACTGCTAATGTTAAGTACTACAGAGACAGATCTTGAAAGCAGTAGCAAGGGCATCCTCAGAAGATTTTTACCATCTCAACTCTAGATCTAGAACACGAAGAACTGGTTAGTCCACACAATTATTTAGTCTTTGGCATCTGCTGAAGGTGTTGAAAAGGGCACCAACTCTGATTCTGGATTTTGTTTTGTGGACACCTGTTCACAGGGACTTAACCAGAGACTGCTAAGTCATTCCTCGCAGTCTGACAGCTGTGGCAGATTCATCTTATCTTTAATAACCATGTTGTTCAGAATGTACTCTCTCTCAGGGATATGAACCTTAAATACCTGTTTTTTCAGGTAGCAGGAGAGCAAAACAAGATGTGAACCTGCTTTGTGTCTACTATATTACTAACATACCTGAATAAGCATTTTACAGCCTTGTAAGTAGAAAGGGAATTATAAAAAGGGAACAACAACAATTTGCTAAAACCTTAAACACAGCATTGAGCCCTTTTTGCTTAGCTCAGAGATATACAGGTCTGGAAGGTGGGAGACTTTTCTCAGCAGGAGAGAATTCTGAATTGCATTTGAAATTAAAATTTGTATCTGATGCTAGTGATATTTTTTCTGGAGAGAGATGTAACAGCAGTAATAATTAGACTGAGCACATACCATGATTTTTCGTACTTCAGTGGAGTCTAGGGCAGGGGTTGGCGATCTATAGCTCATGGGCTGCATCCATTTTCTGGTCCATGGACATGAGGCATTGACAGCATTTAGTAGTAAGGGGCTCCAACTACAGTGGCTCTTCCCATGCCACTACAGGAGAAGCACTGGCTGTGGGCCCTTTCCTTACGCTGATGCTAAGAAAAGTAGCAACAGTGGCTGGGTCCCAGTGCCTGCACATCCACCCACCTGCCTCTGATACAAACTGGGTAAGTCTGGGCTACAGTAGCCTTAAAAGGTTGTTCACTGGTTATCTAGAGGACTTCTGGATTCCCATAACCTAGGCCTAGTTTTTTTTTTACACTTGCTAGGGGTTGCTATTGCATCTGGGGATGATTGCCTATACCCCATACCCCACAGCCATGCCCTTTGTCCCAGGAGATGGGGGAGTGGTGTCGGAGAAGAGGAGGAGACTAGAAGGGGATGTGTACACCATCCTGGAAATTTCGGTACAGAAGGTCAACACAGCCAGCTTTACAGCTGCTTTTAGCTGTTGATGTGGCACAAAATGGCTATCATGGACCACAGCGATTGGCACATTTTAATAATTCCATTTCCTTTTGGGATTGCTAAACCAGCAACAAGCAGGAAAGAGCCTGAGTTATATTATTTACAGTAGGATTCTCCTGGGTGAGAGATGCCCTCATTTCTTTAGTCACAACAATGTCAAGGCTCACATAACTATCCATGTAAACTTTCCTTTTAAGTACCACGCAGAGCTTATTCACACTCAGAAGCTCATAGCACTATTCCTTCTTTCAGCTACCTGGACCAGCTGAACCCAAAAGACAATTAAATTGTTGTAGCTACTGAAAAGCACAAGGCCTTGGGTTCTTGTGCAATGATACAGTTTCACGAGTGCTAGAATAGGGCGAGGAAGCTGCAACGTATAGGACAATAAGACTGGCCATAAACATAAACAATGAAAGTAAAAGATGGTCTACCCAGATGTGCCATTTAGTGGTTGACCTGGTTTCCCTTTGGGAACTCTCACAGCTGGAACAGAAGGAAAGTCATGCATAAGCCAATTTCCTCCTCCTGGCAGTTTAGGGTGGTCACAAATAGCGAGAATGACTGAGAAGCTGACTAAAAATCTATGAATACTGTCATATTGAATGTAATAGTTTGATTTTTTGTAATAAATACCCATTAGCCAGTTTAGAAAAAAGGCAAGGTTCATCTTCTTATCTAGGCCATTGCTTGTTTTTGCTTACGTGGGGAATGTCTTGATTCTGAATTTTATCTTTAGAGGCCTTACAGCAAATGTGCTGAATGTCTTTGTTTTTGCATTTTATCTCTAGAGGCCTTTAACAAAGTGACCCTTGGGCAAACATTCCGAGAGATCGAAACCTAGGGGCCTTTGAAAAGGGGTTGGCAAAAGAGGTCACATTGGTGTTATGGAAAATCTCCAAAAAGCAAGAATACAAACTGACCACCCAGCAGAAATCTGTTAAAAGATCTGGGCCCAAATTTGGGAGTAGTGACAGGTTTGGGTAGGAGGGGCCCAAGACAGCAACTCACCCAATAAAAACTGTAACCTACAGTCCCAATTTGGAGGTAACCTCACTTGCAGAACACCGAAGGAAGAATCACAAGTGTAGGCCGGATCAGACTGATCACCTGAACCACCCTCTCCATGAACAAGAACTCCCGTTCACGCTGGAGCCTAGGAGTGCCCAAGTGGGACTGAAGGAAGGGGACTTGTTGCTATCACTGCTGAGACCAACCCTAAAATTATAACTAAAGAGTGAAAGTATCCTTGGGGATTTGGTTTCTAGAAATTCTAGGACTGTAAGTATACCATGAGAAATAATAGTATTGATTCCAATTTAACCTTTACTTGTAATTGTAGTTGTTTTTGTAATACTAATTCTGATAGCATTGGTTGGGAAGGAAGTGCATTTGGAGCATTGTTTCTAATATCTGTAGTTATTGTGTTTTTAATGTTTGTGGTTTTTCTTAAAGCTAAGCAGTGTTATATGTGTAGCAAGGAATTTTAAAATAAAATTGTATTGTAGGAATTAAGTGTACAATCATTGTGAAATCATGCAATCAACCAAATACTCCCCCAGCCAGGCGCATCAAACAAATCAGTAAATTGTGTGGGATTTCTCTCTATTCCATAACTCACTAGAGACAAATACCAGGGAGCAGGAACACTATATGGGGCTGAGTCGATGAGAAGGAGTGGAGGGTACAGTTCTTTCTGAGTAGCCACCTCAAGTACTGTACTGGAGAAGGGAAGATAATTAAGATCTTTAAGCTCCTGCAACTGCTGTTGGGCTGCTTTTCTCAGAATGTTAGAGTTTCATGATCTCTTTAAGAAGTAATAACGCTTGGAGCAGCGAATAGTCTCACCTGGGTTTTCTTCCGGTTAGTCTCAAGTACAGATCATAGATCATGGCTGGAGCCTTATGGCTGACTGCTATCCAGTACCGGTTAATCAGGTAGTTTGAGGTGAGCTGAGCACAGGGTGTTCTGTAAACTTGTTCTAGGGGGTTCCTTTTGAAGGTGGACAAGACGTGGTATTCTGCAAGAGAAGAGAGAACAGATGTTTTAAATTAGACTTTCCTCACATTGAGAACATGCAGTGATGAACATGTGGTGTTTCAATTCCTCAACTGCATAAATGAATCTACAGTTTTATAAAATAGTGTGTTCAGCCTCACAGAAGACTCATACAAGGTGATTCCTAATTCTGTAACCGGACAATCATCTATCTCAATGCACTCATAATTACAGTGGAGTCGCATCTTACGCGGGGGTTAGGTTCTAAAGTCAGCGTGTAAGGCGAAAATCACGTATAGTCAAAATTAGAATTATACTCAGCGCGGCGAGATGCTCACACTATGAGAGGCACATGGGTAGTGAGACCGACTGAGGGAACAGCAGATTCACGTCTCCCATCTCATGCTCACTCCAGGGCATACGCTCATTGAGTGGAACGGCGGGTGAAATTGCTCGCACTATTTAAATTGTTATTTTTCTCTCTTTTTTTTTGCCGAGCACGTATAGTTGAATTCACATAAGTTAAATGTGCATATGATGCGACTCCACTGTAGTAGCTATTTGGAAATGTCAAACACCACTGAGCTTAATGGTCTATGCTTCTAATGCAATAAAGAAACTAATTCTGTTTTATTCATAACCCATAGGTACTCAAAAATCAGAATGAAATGACATTTACCTCACATGCAAAACAGGTGGGAGCATATTCTCTGTCCTGTTATATAGGAGGATTCCTCAGATGGCATAGACTTTGCTACCACCTTTCCTGACCCCCTGGTGTAAGGGTCATGCATCTCCATGATCCTGGCGGCCTCTGCAGTTGGGTATAAGGCAGAGCAGTCTCTGCTACTACTGCCCCAGTGGCCTGACCTTGGAAGCCTATGGTTGGTTCTTTCACTCCCAAACATTATGAATTAGTCTAGACTCTAGGGCCTATTTAGGTCTGAGGGCCTGTAATATATTCCATGGTAAGAGAGTAACAAAGTGGCTGCTACAGTATTTACAAGCTTGGAGAACCTTGCTCTTTTTCCTTCAAAAAATAGATCTTTACCTGGACGATATTTTCCTAAAAGTTCTGGAAAAACCTGCGGTTATTAAAAAACAATGTTTGACCATATGTTCAACTGAATTCTTTAAATTACATTTCTCTGTTTCAGACAAACTGTTGCCACACCTCTATCTGCCTCTCTTTTCCCCTCCGTCATTTATCCCATGTTGGAATGTTTTATGGTAAGCAAGAATGTGGGATGAGAAGTTTTCATACAATAGTCATAGTTCTAAAACAAGGACTTTTTGGTGATATCTGTTATTGAACAAATGATATAGTTGGGAAGGATGTTAGACAAGGTACCAAGCAAAAAGTACCCTTCCTTGGGTCAAGGTTCTAAACAAATTTTCTCCATGTAATTGAGACTCTGACGACTAAAGACATAAATGATACATGGGAGTAGGAGGCTAGTGTGTTTAGCAGCCACAATGCAAATGCAGAGAGAGCAAGTGCCATAAAAACTGTGCCTTCTATAAAGGGCCCAACACTCTGTTGACACTTACTAAATGATTATGAGGCTCATTTATCCCCATTCAGCCACTCATGGATCAGACTGGGATTCTCTGCTCTGACACTCCCGACAAGAGATTTCTCTAAAGACACTCTTTAAATCCAAAATTATACACAAACCCTCAGCTATTCATCGATATTTAAGTTTATTTAGTCTCTTCCTTTCCCAATGGAAAATCACCAAATTTTATTTGCTGCCACTGACATCCTGGAGCCGTAAGACCGTTTTTGATACTCTCTGCAGCAAATGTTTACAGTACTGGTAAATGCATGGCATAGCCTCAACAGTTTTAGGTCCTTTAATTCTGTAGCTGATGGGAATTGATGTTGAGTAGATAACTTATGTGACATAAGGAAGCAAGAAGACCAGACTGCTTAAGTGGGCAGCAGATAACCTATGTAAGGTGAGGAAGCAGGGGGCTACAACAGATTGGATTTCAATTACTTAATTGGGTAGTAGGTACTCTGTAAGTAGCACCACCCATACCATAAACAGGATAAAACCTGGGGAAAAAGGGGACACTATAGAACGAACGAACGAACGAACGAACGAACAAACAAACGAACAAACAAACAAACAAACAAACAAACAAACAAACAAACAAACAAACAAACAAACAAACAAACAAACATCATGAAGGGATGAAAACCAGGCCAGGAAAACATCCTGAGGGGCAAAAGACATGCCATTGTCAAGATGACCAAGGGGAAGAAGGGGGCAGATCACCCATAAAAGAGCAAGCAAAAATGAAGCCTGTGGACCTTTGCCCCACTTGCCAAGAAGAACTGTGGACTCAGGAGACTCCTGAATGCCTGGCCAGCTGCAGGGAGACTCTCTGTCCTTGGGACTATGTGAAACTTATGCATAGTTCCTTTTATGTCTGAACATAGGCAAAGTTTTCTGTTGTGCCTTTGTCTTAAGCTTAAGACTGTAAATTACTGTACTCAATAAACGTTCTCTTCTGAGAATGTACTATTCTTGCCCGAGCCATTTTCATTACTTCAGAGCTACCACCTAAACTCTAACACTGAGTTTGGGAAACAACAGCTCCATCTGCTTTCATTCAAGTCCAAATGTTTATGTGCTGCAAATCCAAGTTTCAATCACAAGCTGACTGGGAAGGCATTTCTTTTAGAAGCAGAGCAATCACTTGTTTGGTTTTCCTCCTTTACCATTTTTAGACAGGATAAGGAAAAAAAATCATTCTATTTAGAAAATGCATCCCTTGTCATTTGAAATCGCATGCAATTCACAGAATTTGGACAAACCAGTGATGCCTGCCTTGTATTTGCTAATTAATGCTTGCAGCAAAACAGCTGCAGCACTGTGCTGTGTAGTACTTCTTGATGTGGACAGCTCATTTATCAGGGGAGACATATGCTTAAACTCCAAAGAAAATTTGGAAAAGCAGGAATAGAGACAGTACTGTTTCAATAAATACCCCAAATGGTTGTTAAACCAACCTTAACATCACATAAAAGGAGCCTGGGTGATTCATGGAAAAGCTGTCTTGTATAATCTAGCATCAATTATGCTACATTATGATCACAGCTCCTCCTTTCAGTTTTGTAGACTCATTTTACCTTTATCTCCAGCTGTACAGAGGTGAGAATATGACTTTTACTTTGTGGAGCTGTCTGCTTTGATGCATCATGTACCAGCATGTGTGTGTTTGTATGGGATAGCTAAGGATTTCAAAACATCATCAGCACCTGACATTAGGATCAGATTTTCAAAAGCAGCTGAGTGCCAGAATTTACATGGAGATTCTTGCAACTGTAAACATGTTTTAAAGCAACATATTTGAAGGTCCCTGCAATTTAAATGGAATGCCTTTGTTATGATAAGAGTTGATAACATCACTAGCACTTAAATCAGTACAGGAAGGGCAGATAGTTTTTTTTGAAAGATAGTTATGTCACCAACTTTTGAAGGGCAAATCCAGAATCCAAAACTGGAAGGGCAGTTAAACAGAAACTATTTTTCAAATATTTGGCTTTGCTGTGGTTGCAATGTGTGGCCCAGATCCTGCTAATTAATCCATATGGACAAACCTGCACACCCAAAACCCCAGTTAAATCAATGGCCTACTGAGTGCCATTGGGATTTAGCTATATAGAATAACTCATAGAATGAAGGCCTACATACCTTCAAGCATATTCCTTCATATGATTTGTGAATGAGGATTTAGAGCACGCATCATTTTTTCCCCCACATCAACCCTGCTTCATTTAGTGCCCACATCTACGAAAACAACCTCCTTTATTACACCATTTCAAATCATCCCTGTATCAGGGCTATTCTGTGCACGGAATGAGGATGGGGTGCTGTGGGAAAAAAAATAGCACATAATTCTGTAATGAAGAGTTGCAGCATAATGCACAAAGCGAGTGCAAATTAAAGTTGCGTATGCAGCGTTAATTATGGAAGTTCCTAATTTTTTGGGAGTGCTTGATTTGGCAATCTTAATTATGTTCTTATGATGCAATTTTTTTCTGGATGCAATAAGACAACAGAGGCAGAGATACAGATACATCTCCAACTGATTTGCTGAAATCCTACAGCTGACAGTGTTTTTTTTACTGCTCCTACTGACCTCCCCCACTGCTTAAACTAAAGCAAATTCTCAAATTCACTTTAAGCCAGTGGTTCTCAACATTTTGAGATTTAAAACACTCCTTAGAAAATGCCAGCACCTAGCTTTCATTAATTTTTTTTTGACTGTGGAAGAATAATAGGGCAATTCTTCTGTTGCAAAGAACACACAAAGACCACGACAGGTCAGAATGGTTTTGACATTGTGAGATCCTATTCAAATCTCTGGATTTATTTTGTGAATTGTGCAGGTGCTTGCACACCTAACAGGGCTAATTTTGCCACAGCACCCTAGTTCCAAATAATTCCTTTAACCTGTCAGTGGGTCAGAATCGGAATTAATTCTGCCCCAGGTAGTTCATCAAGAGAAAACTGGCTGAATCAAAATGTATTTATGTTCACACTGTGAGAACTATATTACAGCTTACCTTGAAAAACTACTTTTGACTAGCAGTTTCAGAACATATCAAGTAGGCTGCAGACAGCAAGATTAACCCACTTTGATTTTATTAGCAGGACCTAAATTGCAGCAAAGCAGAACAAACTGCTTTGAGATTAGTTCAGGTGAATGCCTAGTTATCAGGCACAGCCTTATACTACTAGTAATAATTATAATAAAGGCACAGCTATATAGTACAAGGTATGGTGTTATTGTGTAAAGGAAATTAAACAACAAAATTAAGCCATGGGACAATCTTACAGTAAAGGCTGGTCTGCGTCTAGAAATTTACCAAAATAAGTGGACTTGAGAATTTTTTTTTCCTGGTATCACCCATCTGGAAATAATTTGAAATGGTAGTGTCCAGATAGAGGCTTCTACCAACCCCTACCCCCCCCCCCCCC